CCTTGCGCGGCCACCCTACCGCTGCGCTCTCTCTAGCTCCCGCCGTCACCTCTCGCCTGCTCCGCAGCCTCGCTCTCGCCCCCAAACGCCCTCAGCAACGCTCCTCCCACCTTCCTCCTCGGCCGCCGTGCGACGTCCAAACGCACCCAATCATTGCCCGTCTAGCCCCTGCCGTTTGGCCAATAGGCACTTACGTCTCCGAACCTTGGACCAATAGTATGGAGCGTCTGGATCCCTTCAGCGCCCAACCAATCCCCTAGGGACCTTTCCTCTCCGGCTGGTCCCGGGTTGATAGTGCCCGCCCCCTTACGCCTGGAGGCTGCTCCTCCTCCATCTCCAAGTCGACTCCACTGGACGGCTCAGAAGGAGGGGCAGCGTGATGACGTCAGGCGGCGGAGTGAGGCTGCGGGCGCCATCTTGGGGACAAGGCGGGTAGTCGCGTGGGGGTTGAGAGGGAAAGTCGGGAAATTGAGGCACACGATTCCCCGAGGGCTAGGGCGGGGGAGTTGAGGAGCAGGAACTCCGAGGAGCGAAGGGAGAGAGTGAAGAAGCACAAGTCAGCTCAAAGAGGAGAGGAAACCAATCACAGGGAGGGAAGACAAGAGGAAATTAAGGCTCCAGATTCACTTTGTATGGAAGAGAGGAATAAAGGAAGAGGAGAAAAACGGAGGGACTCTTGAGGGAGGGGGTAGGGGAAATGTCAGAGGAAAAGCAAGAAGAGAGGGAATCTGAGGGAATGAGGAAAACCTGAAGAAAAAAGGTAACGCAGAGAGAGGCAGTTGATGTGAAGAAACGGAGGGTGTGAGTGGGGAGGGAGGTAGATGACCTACGGGTCCCCGAGTTTGCGAGTGAGTTGCCCCAACCAGAGCTGTTACAAATGTTTCTAGAGCGACTCCCTGAACCCAAGGACAGGGCAGCTGCAAGAGACTGGCTTGGATCACGCCCCGCCCCCATTTCTCTGATGAGTAACCGAGTCTCAGAGAAAGTGGTCCTTTACCTTCCTGAGGCTAAAAAGCTACCGGGGGGCTTCACACACAGAGTCAGGCCTAGGAGTGACGGTCCAGTTATAATTTTGCTATGTCATGCAATTGGTTTCTACCCAGGCGTCCTAATTTCCCACTAATCAGCGGTTCTCAACTTGTGGGTCGCGACCCCTTTGGCGGTCGAACGACCCTTTCACAGGGGTCGCCTAAGACCATCCTGCATATCAGATATTTACATGACGATTCATAACAGTAGCAACATTACAGTGATGAAGTAGCAACGAAAATAATTTTATGGTTGGGTCACAACATGAGGAACTGTATTTAAAGGGCTAGAAGGTTGAGAACCACTGCTAGATTAAACTCCCTAACACCAGGCCCATGTCATTAAAACAGGCTGGCTGGGTTGGATTGGACTGGAGTGGAATCTTGGCCCTGCCACTTCCTAGCTGTTGCTTTGGGCAAGTCATCTTCCTTGGACCTCAGTTTTCCTATCTGTGAAATGGGGATAATGGCCCCTGTCCCATATGATTGTTGTGAGGCATAGAGTAAAAGCTACGTAAGAGTTATTTTTATTATTAGGACCTCAAGTAATAATAGCTTGGAACATGTCCTGAGTGTATTGAAGCGTTCAGTATTGTGCCCGGTGCTTTCCATGTATTATGCGGTTTAATCCTCTCAACAACCCTAGAGGGAGGAGCTATTTTCACTTTACAAAAAACAAAAAAACAAATACAAAAATAAATCACACACACACACACACACACACACACACACACACACACAAACTGAAGCCCAGAGAAGTTAAGTAACTTGTCTATAATTAGGAAGAGTCGGAGCCAGGATTCCAACCCAGGAGTTAACTCCAAGGTTTTTACATTCATGATCCCCAGGCTCTACTGCCTGGCAGGTGGGACCCAGTGGCATGTTGAATGGATTAAGTGCAAGAAGTAGAGGAAAGAAGTTGGTGGGAATCAGTGAGCTCTAAAACTGGTAATCTGGGTTTTCCCTCAGGGTGAAATCACCTAGTGCCGGAGCTAGAGAGCCTGGAAGCTAGGTTCAGCCTTTGACAAGTTCTGTGCTCCTGGGCAGGTTCGCACTCCTGCTGAGGCCTCCTCTTCCCACTTAAAAATGCCAGCTAGCCGGTGTGGCTCAGTGGGTTGGTCATCCTGTGCACCGAAAGATTGCCGGTTCAATTCTCAGTCAGGGCACATGCCCAGGGTTGGGGGCTTGATCCCTGGTAGAGGGCATGCAGGAGCTAGCCAATGGATGCTTTGCTCTCACTTCCCTTCTTCTCTAAAAATCAATAAAAATGTTTAAATTGAAAAAAAAAGAAAGAAAGAAAATGCCAGCCAGCTTGGCTTGTCAGACCCCTTTCTTGCTCTGACCTGCTTGGACCTCCCAACTTATCCGGGTTGGCTAGTCCCTTCTCTTCAGATGATACAGGAGTAAACTGAGGCCTAGGTCAGTCTTCCCAGAGATGGTGGCACAGGATTAAGACTTCTGGGACAGGTTCAGTTTAGAGAGGACAAGCATTCTAAGCTGGAGTCCCTGCATAAGCAAAGGAGGTGTGTGCAAAGTTGGTGGTCCTTCAGGGTCAGATGTATGTGTCAGATGTATGTTGGGGATGCCCCACATGCCAGCTGCAGAGGGCTTCCCATGCCAGGCCAGTGTGAGTTGCCACGTGCTACATGTGCGCTCGAGGCATGCAGTCACGTGTGCTGGGGTGCTGCACGTGAGTGTGTCAGTGTCTCCTCCCCATCACGAGCAGTTGGGGCTGGTGGTGAGTCATGGACTCAGCCTTCAGCACCAACTGTCATGTTTCTTCCCCCCAAATTTCACCCCCCACCCCCACCCAGGCCTGCACCACCCACCCCGACTCCAAGATCTGTATTGCTGCTTCTCTCTTCCAGCTCCCTGCCCTGCTCAGCTCCCTCCTGAGGGGGAGGAAGTCTCCCATTTCAGTTGGCTTTGCCCTCCACCTCCCTGCCCTTTCCCACTGCCTCTCTTCAGGTGACTAGAGAATTTAGGGCCTCTACTCCCCACCCACTCATCTCCATAGGTCCCAAGGATTTCTCTATGCGTTATGGAGAATTCCCATACTCACCACCCTTCACCTCTGTGGGGGCTATTTCTATTTCTGGGGGCTTCTCCCTTTTCTCTATGGGCTGGCTGCTCCTGCCTCAGTGGGCCTCTTGTGTCTGCATCCTTATCTTTATAGGTTCCCTGGTGTCTGTGGGCCTCCTGCCCATTTCTGTGACCTTCTCTCACTCTCCTTGGCCTGCCTCCCTTCTCTGTGATGTGCTTTCTTGTTCCCATTTCTGTGGGCATCTCTTGTTCATTGCCTTCTCTCATCACTATGGACCACTCCCCATCCCTGAGGAGGGCTTTTGTTCCCATAGACCTTTCTCCATCTTCACAGGGGCTCTCTGGGTCCACAGCTGCCCTGTCTCTGAAGTCCTTTGCTTGTCACTGTGGTTTGCTTCCTTGTCTCCTTGGGCCTTTTTCTCGTTTCTCTGGGCTTTTCCCTGTCCTTGTCCTTGTGGGGTTTGTGGACCCTAGCCCAACTCCGTGGGTCTTGATGGCTCTTTTTCTGCTTCTTTTCATATTTCTTCATCCCTGTCAGCTCTCTCCCCCAGCAGCACGGCCTTCTTATTAGGTCTCCCCACCTCTCATCGGCTCCAGTGCCCAAGGGCTGCCTGGGCAGGGCGGTGGCATGGTGTGGTGGAGGGGGTGGCCTGGGGGTGGGCCCTCCATCCAATGCAGGGCCTTCTCCTCATCAGCATTCTCCTCAAGGGGGCCCCCAACCCCGACCAATACCGGCTCCCCCTCCTCTGACTCCCCTCCCTCCTCTCTTTCTGCCTGCCCCCTCTCTTTCTCCAGCCCGCCCTCCTCCCTGCTCCCTCATCTTTTTGCGGCCTCAGCCTCGGAGGGGAGAAGGAGAGGTGGCAGTGGTGGAGGCGGCAGTGGGCAGCGGTGACGGCCAGCAGCAGAGAGGCAGGCCCAGCTGGGGACCAAGAGCCGGAGGCTGATCCTCACAGGAGACCAGGAGTCGGTGGCCAGGCCCTCTCACCCAGGCCCTGCGCTGGGCACCCCCTGGGACACCCCCACCCTCCTCTGCCTTCCTCTTCCACCTGCTCCTCTCCTTCCTCCCCTCCCTGTCCTCTCCCTCCCTCCCATCTCTCCACCTTGCCTGTTCCCTTCTTGGCTCTCTGAGTCTCCCAGCATCACATCCTCCCCAGCCACTCCACTCCTCAGCCTCTCCCCACCCCCAGCATGCTTTTCCCTCGGGGGCTGAGGGCTTGAGGACTCCAGACCCTAGTCTCATCCGGCGCTGGGCCAAGGCTGGGGGGAGGGGGGAAGGGGTGGCCCCCTCCCCCCCATTAAGCCCTTCCCTCCCTCACTTCTGATGGCTGGCTTCCTTGTCTCCACCCAGTCCTCACCCCCAGTGGCCCCCCCAGGCCTGCCCGGCTAGGGGAGGGGGCAGGGGCCCTTTCCTGGGCCGGCTTCCCCCTCCCCCGGCTTTTGCCTGTGCCCCCTCCTTCCCATTTTCACCTTCCTCTCCTCCTTTCCTCTCTCCTTCCCCTCCATTTGCTCCTTCGCCCTCTCCTCTCTCCCCTTCTTTCCTCCATTTTCTCCTTTCTCCTTCCTCCCCTCCTCGGCCCACCCTCTCCTTTTTCACCTGTCCTTTCTCCCTGCTCCTGAGGAGCCCCCGTTTTGGATTAGTTGGGGCCACCACCGGAGGTGGGGGAGGGGGCCCTGTGGACTGCCCTCTCCCCCCCTCCCTGCCCCAGCCACACCACCGCCCAGTGCCAGAGCATCTCCCCGCTGTCATTTCTCGGGCCTCGAGGGAGCCCTGCCCTCCGTCCCACCAGGATCCGTAAGTGTCCGCAGGGCAGGGGTTGGGCTGGGGCCGGCCTGAGTCCTGAAGGCTGTACTTACTGCCGCTTGGTGAAGTGGGGGGATGGGGGGGGGCACATTTCTCTGCTCCTGGGACCGGCAAATACCCTCCCCCACCAGGGGCCTGCCATGTCCCCAACCTCCATTCCCCTTGGCCCTTTCTCACCCCTTCTTCTGGGTACACAGCTCACCCTTGCCCCTCAGCGTCTGGGGTCCTGAGGGGCTGACTGTGGTCTCACTCCTCCGGACTCCTGGCACGTCTCCGCCCCTGCTCTCTCCAGTCTGGCTCCACGGTGACCGGTGACCGGCTCTGCTCGCACCCACTGTTTCCTCCGTCTCCCTCTTCTTTCCTCTGAGCCTCATCCTCTCTGCCTGCCATGGACCCATCCCCATGCCATCTGGTCTCTATCTCCTGGAAAAGTCTGTTTTTGAATCTCCATTTCACGTGGCTGTGGGGCTTCTGACTCTGTCCAACTTCTCTCTTCTTTGCCGGTATCCTAACTATTTCTTGGTGTGTCTCCGTTGATCGATCTCTCTCTCTCTCTCTCTCTCTCTCCAAACTCCCCTGTCTCTTGTCTCTTCTGGAGGCTGCCATGCCAAATCTAGCCCTCTTGCCACTTCTCTCTGTCTACTTTGTGCTCTGCCTGGGCCTCTGCCCACCTGGCCTCCTCCCTCTTTAACCCTGGGCTTGGAGGCCAGCTGCCTTCTCTCACTTTTCTGCTTTCCTCCCCAGATTCACTCTGGGTGTATCCCCTTCATTGCTCACTCCTTAGCCACTGCCCCTCTCCACGGTCCACTTTGTGACTTTGTCTTTTCTTTTCCTTGATGGCCTTGCCCACAATCCCCCCAATCCTCTTCCCACTTCTCCCCTCACCCGCCCCCCTCAATGCTCCAGGTCCCCCAACGTGCCCGCAGGCACTCTGAGTGGGTGCACCTCTATGCGGACTGGCTCCCCTCCTATGGGTGCTTTGCCTGTCCCTGCCTGTGCCCCTCCAGGTCTCTCAGTCTTCCACCTCAGTTTTCCTCCCTGACTCTCACTCCCTCTCTCTACTAGTTTGAGTCTGTCTCTGTCTGTCTCTCTCAGTCTTGCACACCCCTTCTCCTATGGATCTGCTGTGTGGCTCTGACACACTTCTTTCCTCTCTTTCCAAGGAGCCCTCTTTCTTTTCAGAGGTTAGCAATTTCTTTCCTCCCCACACTTCTTGTGCCTGTTGTCATTTCTTTTGCCCCCTCTCTCACCCCGTTTGCCTTCTTACCTTTGATACCAGTATCTCACATGCCCACTTGTCTGTCTCCCTCCCCTGGCAGGACCCCCCTAATTCAGTCCCTTCTGCTCAGTTTGCTGCTGTATTTCACCTAAGTCCCTGAGCCTGGGAATTAGGCTTGCCTCCTCTTCCTCTCTCGCACCCTCTCTCTGGTCTCTGTCTCCTTTGGTGTCTCCTAGGTGATGTCTGTGTGTCCTTCTCTTTTATTTAGTCCCGGTTACTTTAGGTCTGTCTGTCTTTCTGTCTGTGACTTCTTATGCACCTGTGTCCATCTTGCGGCCCCCATCCCTGGCCCAGCGCTCTGTCTCTGTCTTTCTGCTCCCACCTGTGTCTGGCACCCTTGGGCCCCTGCCCTTTTGGCCCCTGTATCTTCCTCAGTCTTTCATCTTCTAGTCTCTGCTCCCTGATTTGCCCCAAAGTCCCTGGTGTCGCAGGATGACAGCCTCATTTCTGCCTCTCTCCCAGTCCCAGCCTCCACTTCCTTCCCTCTGAGCTCTCCTTCTGGGTCTCCCAGTCTTCCTTGCTGCTCCACTCTTGACAGGCCTTCACCTTAGATCCAAATTGCAGTCTGCAGCCCCCAGCCTGTCCAATATGCCCTTTTATACCCCCAGCCTATCTTCCCAGAAGTCCCCACAGAGAGACAGACAGACAGACAGACTTGCTGAAGGTCACATGGGAGTCTGGGGTAGAGCGGGGACTGATGGGGTCTCTTGCTGCCCTGACCTAGGTTTTCCTGGCCAGAAGGGACAGTCTGAAGTGTTCATTGTGTCTCTGCCCTCCCTAGGCAGGTTTTGTTCTGCCTTTTTACCAGCGCAAGCAAGCGCTCCTTCCTTGGAGATTGGGTGGAGTACAGGGCGACCCCAAGGCTTACCTCCCAGCAGTCTGGGCCTCACAGTAACCCTCTCCCAGAGACACCCACAGGGCATAGCCCTTGTCCAAGGGAAGTCGCACATCTGGCTCAAGTCACCCGTGCCCAGTGGTCATCTTGCAGAAGGCTGGGGTACCCACAGGAATCCCTAACTTGCTAGAGGTGGGGAACAATTGTGGGAAGCAAAGATGCACTGTCTCCCCCCAATCTTTAGCTGCCCAGAGCTGGGCAGACAGTGCACTCCCTGCCTTGCTTTCCCTTTGGCTCTCTTTGGTGGCGTCTTGAGTGGATTTGTGTCTCCATTCTCTGTCTTCCTGTTCTATTCTGTCTCTCTTGTATCTTGACTTCTCTCTCTTCTGCCTGTCCTGCCCATTCTCTCTCCATCTCCGTGTCTCCCTACCTTCCAGTCCCTTCCCTCCTTCTCTCTCCTAGTTCTCTCCTTATCTCCCTGTAACTCTCCTCCTCTATCCTCTCCATTTCTAACCCCATTTACCTGTCTTCTTATCATCTTTCTGGTCACTTGTATTTCTGCCTATATTTCCCTTTCTCCATTCCTGAGTCTTTTCATATTTCCTCCCTCTTAGCCTTTTTTTCTCTTTCTGTCTCTCTCTTCTCCCCCTCCCCCTTTTCTGTCTTTACTCTTTTAGCCCCTTAGCTGCTTTCGGTCTATCTATGTGTCTCCATGTGTGTCTCTCTCCATCTTTTCCTCTCTCTCCAAGTTTCCTAACTCCCGGATACTCTACCCTCCAGACCCCGGATGTCCTGGCCTCTCTCCCTGTGGAATTGTGGGAACCAGGGACGTCAGGAAGGTGGCAAGTGAGGCCTGGGAGGGGTTGCTTAGCAACCACTGCATCCTCTCCAGCCGGTTTCTGTTGCCTAGTAACAGCTGCCTGCCCAGAGACAAGGGCCCAAGGGCGGAATGGGTAGGGGGGTGGCACTTCTTGGTCTCCTGTGGGGTGGGGATGGTCCCTGGTATTCACCCTCACCTGAGATCCATATCATGCTTCCCTCCCATTTTGGTAGCTGTGAATATTCCTGAGCAGTGGCTCTCCCACTCAGTGCCTGAGTGCTGTGAGCGCCTCCCTAGTAGTGCTCCTGCAGTCTGAGCTTCCTTCCTAGCAATGCCCTCAGCACTGTCTTGTCAGCTTCTAATGAGGGCAGGGCCCTTCAGAGCTCACTCACAATGTCCCAGGTCCGTGGTCACCCTGTCCAGCAGTCCTCCAAAGGGGCTCAGTCTCCCCATGGTGATCCCTGCAGGTGGCGAGTGGGGGCCGCGGCAGCTGCGTCCCCATGAGGAGGGGAGGAAGATGCCGGCTGAGCTGCTGCTGCTGCTGATTGTCGCCTTTGCCAGCCCCAGCTGCCAGGTGCTCTCATCACTGCGCATGGGTGAGGCCCTGCAGCCCTGCCCCTGCCTCCTCAGAGACCCTCCCGTCGGACCCTGGGCTCCTCTTTGGGAACGCAGGCAGGCCGTTTCCTCAGGACCCAGGGATCCGGGCCTCCGCTCTCAGCTTTCCTCAGCATTGAGGAGCAGCAGTCCCCAGCTACTTCTTCCCTGGACTCAGTTCTCTTCAGCCTCAGATCCAGGAGTCCAGACCCCAGTTCCCATCCCCACTCCCACCCCAGGATCTCGGAGTCTGGTCCCCAACCCCTGTGTCCTCTCAGCTGCAATCCTGGATGATCAGACGGTGTGTGGCCGTGGTGAGCGTCTGGCCCTGGCCCTGGCCCGGGAGCAGATCAACGGGATCATCGAGGTCCCAGCCAAGGCCCGAGTGGAAGTGGACATCTTTGAGCTGCAGCGGGACAGCCAGTACGAGACCACGGACACCAGTGAGCAGGGCCTCGGGGGTGTGGGGTGAGGCTGGGCTGGCTAGTACCCCTCAGTGGGTCCCTCGGCCCCCCTACCTCCTTAGCTCGCCTTGTCCTCTTCTAGCTCCATTCGTCCCTTCCTTCATGTCAGCTCTGCCTGTCTCCCAGAGATGGTGCTGCTGGGGATGGGGATGGAGAGGGCATCAGGCCCAGTCCTGCCCTGAGGGCCTCATTTGAAAAATAAGCTTTGCCCTGGCTGGTGTTGATCAGTGGTTGGGCGTCCTCCTGTGCACCAAAAGGTCTCTGGTTTGATTCCCAGTCAGGGTACATGTCAAGATTGCGGGCTCAATCTCCAGTAGGGGTGTGTGCAGGAGGCAACCAATCAATGTTTCTCTCTCAATTGATGTTTTTCTTTCCCTTCTTCTCTCCCTCTAAAAATCAATAAAAAATGTATTTAAAAGAAAAATAAGCTTCGTAGTTGACCAAAGACACTTAGCTTCCAGGGCTGAGTAATGAGGGGCCCAGGCAATAAGGCAGGGGCCTAAGGGGCAGGGCTACTGAAGGCATTCTGGAGAAGGCTAAACTGACATTGAGCTCTGAAAGATGAACAAAATATATACGAAGAGTGATGTTGCTCAAAGTATGCCACATAGTAGGGGTGCATAAGTATTCGTTGAACACTGTGGATTGAATGAATGTCAGTTAACATGCTGGAGTTACAGACCTTTAGGAGATGCTGCCTTCAAATGTGTTTTAGACAGATTTCTTTCCTACAGGCCTTATCAGAGCATTTATTATGTTCATGTATATTTCAAATCACTGAGAGGGAGAATGAGGAGTAATGTTTCCTGGACTTTTTGACTTTTGCAGCACAGAATATAAATTGGGAGAAGCTGGGATAGAGGGTGAGGAGACAGATGGTGTTCTGGGCATGTGCTTGTAGTCTGGAGCTGGGGTGGAGGGGAGGGGGGAGTATTCAGAGCCAAGGAACAGGGTACAGGGTTACACCCATCCTGACCACCTGGACTCAGGACATGTTTAGGAGGATCATGAGAGACGACATCTGGACTAGAGTGTGACTGGGAGTGGGAGGTGAGGTTGGGCAGACTGGCAGGCCAGCTCCAGGAGGCCTGCAGTAGTCGGCTTGAAGATGTTGCCTTCACCTGTAGGCAGTGGGGACTTGTCGGTGGGTTTAGCCCAGGGAGCTGGTGAAAGTGAATCCAGAGGCTAGATTCAGGTGATCAGTGAGGAGGCTGAGTTGAGAGCCCTGAAGTAGAGCAGGGGAGGAGGAGTCGAAGAGAAGAGGATAGATGTGAGAAGATTTGAGGACAAAAAAAGAAAATTTGGTGTCTAATTGGCTATTGGAGACATATTGAAAGCAAGGGTCACATTTCCAGGTATTTGAATGGTGAGTCCTCACCAGTGTGGAAACTATAGAAGGAGCAAGTTTGGAGGAAGATAAGGCATTTAGTTTTGATGCTTTTATTTGAATGTGGCAGGGATCTCTCTGTCTTCATCTCTGGGTCCTGCTTTTCTCTAAGTTGGCTTAATTTTCAGGAATGCCCTTCCCAACTGGTGGCAGTGTGTTTCCAACAGCTCAGAACTTATATCACCAATTTAGCAAACCCAGTAATAATTGTAGCAGAAGACCTGGGGAAGGGTCCCCAAGGCCTGGTGTGAGCCCGTTTCAGCCTCCGAACCAATCACAGTGGCCAGGACGATATGGTTCTGTAATCCTGGGTCAGGTGACAATCGATCCTGGGAACCACGGGGCTTCCCTGAGGAAAAGTCAGGGTTCTGCCTTGAGAATGGGCATTGGGCAGCCATAGCAACAGCTTCTACTTTCGAGGCTTGAGATGCACACATGTTTAAGGGGAAAGAATGTGGAAGAAAGTAGAGCAAGCAAATGCCACAGAAGCATGGTGTTTGGGGTGCAGAGGGTAGGGGGGACCTTGGCCACGGGTTCGGGGTGGAAGGGGTGTTGGATGCACCTAAGGTTGTAGCATGGTTGGAAAGGCTGAGGAAAATGCAGGCCGAGTGACCTGGCACTGGATCTGCAGCCAGAAGAGGCCCCTGGTATTTCCTCTTCCTCTCTTTGTTTTTCTCTGGTTTGACCTGTCTCTCTGTTGCCATTTCTCCCTGTCTCTCTCTGTCTGTGCCCCTCCCTAGGATGGCAGGGATTGGGCCCTTGGATCCCCATGGTGGAGGAGTGTCAGTTCCACTCCTGGGCTGGGGTGGTTCCCTGGTGGTGGGGATGGGGAGGAGGGAAAGGGTCCTTGACTCTGTGGTCTCTTCCTACCCCTCACAGTGTGTCAGATCCTGCCTAAGGGGGTCGTGTCTGTCCTGGGGCCTTCCTCCAGCCCTGCATCTGCTTCCACCGTGAGCCATATCTGTGGGGAGAAGGAGGTGAGGCAGGGTGCGGGTCCCGGGGAGGTGAGGATGGGGAGGAGGGAGCAGGATAGAAGCAAAAGCTCCTTCTCTGTCCAGATCCCCCACATCAAGGTGGGTCCCGAGGAGACGCCTCGCCTCCAGTACCTTCGTTTTGCATCTGTCAGCCTGTACCCCAGTAACGAGGATGTCAGCCTGGCGGTCTCCCGAATCCTCAAGTCCTTCAACTACCCCTCGGCCAGCCTCATCTGCGCCAAGGCCGAGTGTGAGGGAGGAAACTGGACATTTCGTTTTCTGTTCCCCAAACTCCCTTCCCAAGTGATCTAGTCTCCCACAGTCATCAGTGCCCCCTGGTTGGAACGATCTCTTGGTCCCCACTATACCTTCCCCTTCAGGAACCCAGAGCTCTGGTTCCACTGAGCCCTCCCCCCACTTCCTGAAGGGACCATTTAGCCCACAGATAGTATGAAGCACCTGCCAGATGCAAGGCCCCTGCTCAGCATGGCCCCTGACTTCAGGGAGCTCCGAGCCAGTGGAGGACACAGTGGTTGAGCAACTGTGATATGGAGTGACACGTGCTGTGTTAGGAGTTAAGCAGGGGCTGTTGAAGCACAAAGTCTGGAAGGTTTGGAGCCTGAATCCCCAAGAAAGGGACATCGCAGCTGGGCCTGAAGGGTGGGGGTAGGGGGACCATGTTCTGAGGGCATGGCAAGCCAAGTTGCGACTGAGGGAGTGTGGCCCCTTTCAGAGGCTCAAAGTCATTCCCTGCGGCAGGAGTATAGGAGCACGAGGCAGGACCTTGTGTCCATCTTATCCTGAAGATGGTGAAGGTTCCCACATAGGGTGGGGTGAGGGACAGGAGAGTGACATGAGAGGTGGCAGGGAGACCAGCGAGAGGCAGAGGACATGGTGCTGGTTAGGACCCAGGTGGGGCCGTGGGATGGACAGACCACAGATTTGAGAAGAGTCGTGAGGGAGGAGAGAGGGCAGGGTCATGAATTGTGACCAGGTCCTGTCGAGGAGGAGGAGAGAGTCATTCGGGGGCACAGTTGGGTTGGAGGTCTGTGAGACATTTAGGTGGAGATGTTGGAGAAGCTGTGGGTCTGTGGGTGTGCAGCTGGAGAGAGAGGGTATGCTCAGAAACCTCCAGGAAGAATTCCTGTCTCAAAGGGTGTTTATTGAACACCTGCTATGTGCCAGGCGTTTTGCTTGATATTAAGGATATGGCAATGTGCAAGCCAGCCGGAATCCCTGCCCTTATCAAACTTACATTCTAAAGGGAGGAGCTAGGCAATGAACATAAATGAGGACGTTGTTTAGTCAGAAGGGAAAAGTCCTGTGAACAAACAGGTGAGGGACTGGGCGTGCTGGAATGAGGGGGCAGTCTGAAATGGAATGCTGGGTGTGGGAGTCATCGAGGGCGTGATATTTAGTGAGGATCTGAAGGTGGATCTGGGAGAAGCGTGTTCCAGGCAGAGGGAACAGCAAGTGCAAAGGCCACAGGATAGTGTGAGACATGGAGGACACCTGTGTGGCCGGGAAGAGGGAGTGACGGGGAGATGAGGTCAGGAGAGAATGAGGGTGAGCAGATGGAGGCGGGCCTTGCAGACGTTGGCCTTCGCTCTGAATGAACGAGAAGCTGTTAGAAGATTTGGAGCAGAGAAGGGACACGTCTGCTTTCCATGGTTCTGGCTGCAGAGTAGGGAACAGACTCTGGGGGCAAGTTTGGCTGTTGTAACAGGCAAGAGATGACACTGGCTTGGGTCAGGGCAGTGATGGTGGGGTATGCAGTCGATGGGTTTAATGTCTTTTGAAGGTAGATTGGGTGTGGGTGTGAGAGAGAGAGGAGGCCAGGCTGCTGTCTAGGGTTTTTGGCCTGAGAGACTGGCAAGCTGGAGTTGTTCACCGACTTGGGAGACATGCTGGTTTGGGCAAGAAGAGCAGAATGTGGCTTTGCACGTGTGAAGTGGGAGATGCCTGTCACACATATCAGTGGGGGCAGAAGGTGGCAGGAGGAAGGCCTCTGGCAGTCGGGAGGAAGTGCAGGTTGGGGTTTTAATTTGGGAGGACCCTGGTCCAGTACCCCAAGACAGCCAGCTGCACTCTGGACAGACAGCTGCCCATCTCCTGAGTGCACCCTCATCCTCTCCCCAGTTCCCCCATGGTGGTGAGGAGGAGGGAGTGTTCGCCCCATGTCAGGCACATGGAGGGGCTCTAATCCAGGACTGAACCCACCCCCAGGCCTGTTGCGGTTGGAGGAGCTGGTTCGAGGCTTCCTCATCTCCAAGGAGACGCTGTCAGTGAGGATGCTGGATGACAGCCGGGACCCCACGCCGCTGCTCAAGGAGATCCGTGATGACAAGGTGTCCACCATTATCATCGACGCCAATGCCTCCATCTCCCACCTCATCCTCCGTAAGGTGGGTCCCCTGTCTCTGCTTCCCTATGGGGTCAGACACAGAAACATGGGGGACAGAGCACATAGCCTAGTGCCCGTAGGCCTCGGTGGTCACATGGGGTATGGAGACCTGCTTCCTGTGTGCAGAGATAATCAGGAAGATTGTCCCTCGGCTCGGGTGTTCCCCAGTTGCAGCCCTCGTTGGACTCTGGACAGTTGCCTCCCCTCCCTGTGAACAGCTGCTGCCTCAGTGGGTTGTAGTGAGGGATAATGAGTGAGTGGTAGGGAAAGTTCATGGGACCCTGCCTGGCCCAGACTACGGGGAGCTTCCTAGTATCCTTACGAAGTGCGTGTTCTGCTGTATATTGAGGCACTTTGCACGTATTCTTTAGTTTGGCTCTCACCCACCCTGTGGGCACGTGTGATGATCATTTGTGGATGACGAAGCTGGGGTTCCTGCGGGGAACGGTCTGCCTCAAGGCCACCCAGGAGAGGCCATGTCAGATGCTGGCCCGCCACATGCTGTCCACCAGTGACCCACATTCATTCATCATTCATTGCTTCCCTGCTCTTAATTTTTCCTCATAATCTAACCTGTATTATTTATTTTTCCCCAGTTTTTATTTTTAAAAATATATTTTTATTGATTTCAGAGAGGAAGGAAGAGGGAGAAAGAGTTAGAGACATCAATGATGAGAGAGAACCATTGATCAGCTGCCTCCTGCACGCCCCCCACTGGGGATCGAGCCCACAACCCGGGCATGTGCCCTTGACCGGAATCGAACCTGGAACCCTTCAGTCCTCAGGTCGACACTCTATCCACTGAGCCAAACTGGCTAGGGCTTTCTCCAGTTTTTAAAAAATTAAAACCGTATGTCACTGCTGATTGTAGCTTATAGGAAGAGGTGTGGACAGCACCCATAGGCTCTGGAGGCAGGGTGGCTTATAGGAAAGATTATGCTCAGGTAGCAGGCCTGGGCCGGAGACCTGGCCCTCCCCGTGTGAGCCCAGGGACCTGTGGTCACTTTCCTCTTGAGCCTGTCCATCCCTGTCGTGGAATGGGCTATAACCCATATGATCACAGCTCTTGACACTCAGGCAATACAAGCTGGTGCTGGTTAAAGTTCTAATGTCCATTGCGGGCAGGATTGGGCATTCCTGGCCTGGTCTTCTAGCTTTGTTCTCCTCAGGGGCTGTGAGAAAAGGGGCTCAAAACATGACTCTTAGAGCCATATTGGCTGCCTTTGCTGCAAAGGGCTTTTAAAGGTGGCGGGGGTAGTTTATCTGACCTGGGACCAGGCTGAGCCTTACAAGTGAGCAGCCCAAACCTGGCGTGGGCAGCCTGGGCATTAAGGTTAAGGTTGTCCTCCCCACCTGCCCTGTTTCTGAGGTGTCCCTGTGCCTGTCTCCAGAGGGCAGCCTTTTAAGTGACCTAATGAGGGGCGCTGGCATTCAAGGCGCCTACATCCCACCTGGGCTACCAGTCAGCAGGGTTGGACGCGAGGGATCAAGGTCTCCCCCTGCCCACATGTGTCTTCTTCCTGCCTCTCTCTATCTCTGGGTGTTTCTTACTGTATTTCCCACGGGGTGCCTTCTCGCCAGGCTTGTCTCTAAATATCTCTTTCCCTCTCGGTTTCTCCCCATTTCTGCTTCTCTGGTCGCCTCTTTTCCTGCCGGTGTTCTCCAGGCCTCAGAGCTAGGCATGATCTCAGCATTTTACAAGTACATCCTCACCACCATGGTGCGTACCCCCAGCAGCCCCTGTGACCCCATTCCCTCCCATGATATCTGCACCAGTGGTGCCTGGCCCCGGGCCTCACCCTTCTTCTCGTCCCAGGACTTCCCCATCCTGCACCTGGACGGGATCGTGGAGGACTCCTCCAACATCCTGGGCTTCTCCATGTTCAACACCTCGCACCCCTTCTACCCGGAGTTTGTGCGCAGCCTCAACATGTCCTGGAGAGAGAACTGCGAAGCCAGCACCTACCCGGGCCCTGCGGTGAGCACGCCCCCTCGCCCCCGCACACAGACACTCTGCACACAGATACTCTGGGCCCCTTCAAATCTCTGCCAGTTGGTGCTCAGAGCCTCTGGTGCTTCCACTCACTTCCCGAATACCTGCCATGCAGCCTCACTCTGAGATAAGTCTGACCTGTCCTCCTCTCCACCTCCCATGGTGCAGCAGCCACACTGGTCTCCAGGTGCCTCTGCCGCCCCAGCACATGCGCACCTCAGGGCCTGTGCATCGCTTCCTCATCACCAAGTCATTGCTCAAATGTCCCCTTAGTTGTGAGACCTTCCTTGGTCCCATTTAAAATATGGGAAACTCCCCACGATATAGCCCCCTTCCCTGCTGTATTTTCCTCCATAGCACCTGTCTTTGCTTATCTAATTACCATGTGGCTTGCTCTATATTTTGCTTAGATATAGATACACATACATGATTTAAGTTCCTTGAGGGCAGGGCTTTCTCTCTGTTCACCATTATATACCAGCACCTAAGACAGCCCGGCTCAGAGTAGGTTTCTGATAATATATGCTGAATAAATGCAAACAAACAAAAGATGCATATTTATGTGTGTTTGCTCACAGACATCTAGTCATATACCAAGATACTGAGACAGTCCTGCGTGCACAGAAACTCACGGATACCGAGCCATGCAGTCGGATGTGCACACATGGACACAGACAGAGGCACATTCATTCGCACCCCTGCGCCTACCTGCATAGCACGAGATTCACACCTGCACATCCACCCAGCTAAGACGTACTCTCGCAGACACACTCACAGACGCCCTGTGCCATCAATCACAGCTCAGTGGCAGCTTGTATGGAGCCCGCACCGTGTGCCAGGCGCTGTTTGGAGTTCTTTGCTGCATTATCTTGCTTGATCCCCACCCTAGTACTCAGAGGCAGAGATGGCAATTATCCCCACTATATAGGGGAGGAAACTGAGGTTCAGAGGGGAGTGGGGACTTGGCCCACTACAGGGAATAATAGAACTGAGCCTTCAGCTCAGACCTGCCTGTCTCCCAGGCCCAGGCTCATAGCCATTATATGCTCCTGCCTTCTAGACACCCCGCCCTGCCCTGTGTATAAACAAATAGGAACATTTGCCCAGCCCCACCCACATAAACATCCCTAGGCACACTGAGAGAGGGGCTGTGGCCATTGTCTACAGCCTGCATCAACCGCACAGACATGCAGATTCCCAGGCACACCCTCACCTCAGGCCCATGAACCCCCTTTGGGGGTGACACAACTGGCTGTCCAGGCACACTCAGACATGCCCTCCCCTGAACAGACACATGGTCACACGCATTCAGGAAGGGTTGCTGCCATAGAGGCTTGGCAGCATGCACACCTTTCCCTGTCACATGCATTCCCCGAGAAAGACACCAGAGAGTTGTCTGAGGGCTGGGGGTAGCACCAGGGGGCTCGGGGACTCCCCTGGCTAAGCTGCCTCTTCCCTGTCCCGCCCCACCTCTGCCCCCACTCAGCTGTCGGCTGCCCTGATGTTTGATGCCGTGCATGTGGTGGTGAGTGCCGTCCGGGAGCTGAACCGCAGCCAGGAGATCGGTGTGAAGCCACTGGCCTGTACGTCGGCCAACATTTGGCCCCACGGGACCAGCCTCATGAACTACCTGCGCATGGTGAGCTGGGAGTGGGAGGGTTGAGGGCAATCAGCCTGCCTCCGGTGGGGGACTCACTGTGTCCACCTTTTGGCCCTTTGCCCTCTCCCCCACCTCCAACACCTCTTGCTCCCTCTGCGCCTCTTCCTTGCTCTTCCCTCTGTCCCTCCTTTCCTGGCTTTCCTCTGCCCGCCGGTACTGCTGCGTCCTGTGTCTTTGTTCCATCACCCCGCGTTTGCTGGTGTGTGGTCTTGCTTGTTTAATTGTGGTCCTTCCTGGTCCCTCTCCCTCTCTCTTGTCCCCTCCACCTCTGTCTCTTTCCCTCTGGGCCTCTCCCACCCATCACTCTGGGCTCCTGCCACCCCTCCCTCTGGCCACCTCCCACCCTGCTAGGTAGAGTATGACGGGCTGACCGGGCGGGTCGAATTCAACAGCAAAGGGCAAAGGACCAACTACACCCTGCGTATCCTAGAGAAGTCCCGGCAGGGCCACCGTGAGGTGAGCAGGCCCAGGGTGAAGCCAGAGCCCTGACTGGGTGGGGTGGGATGGAGGTGGAAAGGAGGGAGGGCGGGGTGGGACCCCACCGGTTAGAATACCATACCCCTCTCCTCCCCAGATCGGGGTGTGGTACTCTAACCGGACCCTGGCCATGAACGCCACCACCCTGGACATCAACCTGTCGCAGACGCTGGCCAACAAGACGCTGGTGGTCACGACCATTTTGGTGAGTGGCCCTTGTGGGGCGGCAGTAAACGAAGGGGCCTTTCCTGAGTGGTGCCCAGCCCAGTCCTGGTCAGGAGGAGGGATGCCTCAGCTGGCAAAGCGCACAGCGCAATGGGGCTGTGACTCATGCACCCAACAACCCCGGACTGGGCCACGGTGTTACCATCCTAATCGCTGCCAGGGCAGGGGAGGCACAGACTCTGCCCTCACAGCCGGCCCAGCCCGGGCTCCGCCAGCCTGCTGTTCGTTGCACAGCGGAGAGGAAGGCCTGGCTCACAGGAGAGCGCCATGAGCATTCCACGCGGCCACGCAGGCAGGGCACCGCACAGTGTCTGGCCCATGGAAGGCCCCGTCAGTCACGGTCAGGAGTGGCCATTTTGTCACACTTGCCAAGTGTATTGACACACATGTTAACTTATTTAATGTCCATCTTGAAGATGTGGAAACCGAGGCTCAGAAAGGTGGAGCGACTTGCCCAGGGTCTCACAGCAAGTAAATGGCGTAGTCAGGATGGAAGTGAGTCTCTGAGGCCCCAGAGCCTGTGCTCTGAATCTCCAGTCCTTTCGTCCCCTCATTGTCCTGCAGCCCGCTGGTGCTGCTCCTGCATTTGCCAGACCAGAGCCAGGCCTTGTGGGTCAGGAATATTCACTGAGCACTGTTCTGCACGGGCACTGTGCTAGGCCCTTTCCAGGTGTCACTCTTTAAACCTCTCAGCTACTCCATAAGGTTTGTCTTATTTTCCTTCTTTTGAAGGTAAGGAAACAGGTCCCACAGCAAGTCCCTGCTGGAGCGGAGTGTTAGTCTTCGAGGCCTTGCCCTCTCCCCTGCAGCCCTGCCACCCGCCAGGCACAGTGGCCTCTAGGAGGTCAGGGAGGGGTGACACACAGGATCTGGTGAGCAGGAAGCTGTCCGGAGCAGCTGGGCTTAGAGGCTGGGCATGCCACAGCCATGCTCTTTGTAGCAGCCAAGTCCCTGGCCCACTGGCATCTACGTCTTGGGGGTCCCTCAGTGCCTCTGTGAGCTGAGGTGGCTAGTGCTATGGATGCTGAGGTTGAAAGCATTACCACAGGCTCCACAGGATGTCAGAGGCCCCCTAAAGCAGAGTGTCGAGGGGCCATTCCCTCAGTCCCTAGGGAACTTCTGATCTAAAAGTGGACTTCGAGTCCCTCTGGAGAAGGGCCAGTGATCCTGCTGGGGAGGGACAGATGGCCTGCAGACAGGAAACCAGACACTTCGTAACAGCCTCACTGAGAGCCCTGTGGGCCAGGCAGGCTGGCTGGCAGAAGTCGGACCTCTGTGCTTGTGGGAGTGTTGCCAGTTCCAGGGCCTTCCCGGGGCCTGAAGAGATAGGGTCCTTGGTGGGGAGCAGGGGCAAAGGTCAGGGAGGGGGTGTCAAGAGAGCAGAGCCACGATCCTAGGGACTTCGAGCTTCCTCTCACATTTATCTCTTCTCCCCAAGGCCCATAAGCCAGTGTTCTCTTCCTGATACTCATTCTCTTGATGGATTCATTCATTCCACAAATATTTTCTGAAGCTGCTGTGTATCAGGCTTTACACAAGTTCTGGAGGTACAGGAATGAGTCACACGTGGCCTCATGGTTTCCTTACTTTTGAGGGGAGGGGATCCCAGTTCAATGGAGGAGACAGGCATGGACACAGTCATTCTCACACAGAAAGGAGGGACTGACTCAGCTGTGGAAGGCCCGAGGAAGGCTTCACAGAGGAGGTGGCATTAGACTAGGCTTTAGAAGCTGCGTAGGAGTTGGGTGCACAGAGGAGACAGGGGTGGGCATCTGGGCAGCAGGAGCCACAGAAGCAGGGGCCTCAGGAAGCGTTTGTCAGATTGGACGTGGAGGTAGCTGGCTCCGTGTGCACAGCCAGATGTGCCTGCTGATTCACTAACATTTTCTGACTTGTGTTTCTGGACAAGGGCCTTTGTCAGATACTTGGGGATTCAGACTTGAGTCAGTGTGGATGCCTGGGCAAGATGCAGTCGGGACTTGTCTTATGCCCGGCTCTGTCCCCAGGGCCTAGAGTGGTGCCTGGCACCTAGTAAGCATGGAGGGGTGGTGAGTGCTGCAACAGAGGTGGGAGGGTCTCTGAAGGACTCATTTATGCTTACCCTGTACCTTGAAGGTGTTGAGTGAAAGGGGCGGGGCCAGATTGGAATGTCAGAATAGCTCCTGCGTGCATAAGGGAGGCTGAAGAAGAGGGAGGTGCTCCAGGTGGGGGAGTACAAGGCCTGAGCTGGGCTGTCGGCAGGGAGGGGGATCTGATGTGGGATGTTGAGAAGCAGTGAAGATAGGGTGTGGTGCCTGTGATGCCCAAGGGCTGGGCCAAGGGAGGGAACAGGAGAAGTTTCTCAACAGGGTGGGAGTGTCCCTGGGGTGGGGCTCACAAGTCTGGAGCTGAGAGAGGGCTGGCTGGTGGCAAGTTGAGAGAGGCCCACAGGAAGGTGAGGGTGTAAGAGGAGGCCCCAGGAGGTGAGGCTGTGCAGGGGCCTTTCCTCAGGCCCTGCTCCTGGAGAGCCCTCACTTGGTCCCCATGATTCCCTTCATCAAGCAGCTGTGATGTCGAATCCTGCTCTTTGGTGCCTCTGGGTCAGGCATTCCTGTCTTCACTGCCTACCACTCAGGTTGTCCATACTTTCATTTGTAAAATGGGTCTATTAATCTCATTTTGAAGGGTTGTGGGGGGATTGCATGAGATCAGAAGGCACCTTGGTGGCGCCCAGCATGATCGTGGTAAGCACACACGAGTCCTTTCCCCTTCTCTCTTGTGATCTGGCATCCTTGATAAAAACATCAGTCATCTTGGCTGATGTCTTTGAGCACTTAATCTTCATGGCAGCTCTGAGTTGGGTACTCTTATTTTCAGATGAGGGTTAAGTGACCGCCCCAGTCACCCAGCTAGAAGGTGGCAGAGCCCACATACCTCTCCATTGCACTACACTGCCTTGATTTGCCTCAATTTTTGCTCTTTTCTGAGGCCAGAGGACTGCGTTCTAGGCCTGGCTCTACCATTCGCATGCTACATAATGTGGTGGGTGTCTTCTCTCCATCCTCAGTTCGCTCCTTTAAAGTGGGGGAATTGAAATGTTCATAGAGTGAAGGGGCTGGACTAGATCAGGGTTGTTTAAACAGCACTCCAGGAAGTCCTGGATATGGATTTGGGTCCTGGGTTCACGGAAGGCATGCAGCTTTCAAGGAATGTTCTAGAACCCACCCTACTTAATTTTTTTTGTTTGTTCTTAGTTTTAAGAGATTTTTATGGAAGTGTAACATGCATACTGAAACGTGCACAAATCCTAAATGTACTGCTCACTGAATTTCCAAAAACTGAATACACCTATGGAACCAGCCTTCCCACCTGAGCCCTCTTCATGTCCCTTCTGGTCTCTGACCCTCCAAAGTAACTACCATCTCAACTTCCATCACCACAGATTAGCTTTTCCGCCTTTGAACTTCATGTAAATAGCTTCATACCCTATGTTCCCTCTTTTGTCTGGCTTCCTCTGTTGATGTGTTTGTGAGATTCATCCATGTTGGGAGTAGTTTAGTTTCATCATTACATGTTCTGTTCTATGAACGTGACACAGTTTACTTAGGAGCTGTTTCTAGTGTTTTTCTATTATGAAAAGTCCTGCTATGAACACCTACTACATGCCTTCTGGTGAACACAGCGTTTCAGTCCAGTGTTCACCCAGGAGTGGAATTGCTGGGTCTTCTCAGCTTTAGGAGATACTGCCGAAGTGTTGTCCATAGTGGCAGTGCCACTTTGCACTCGCACCAGTAGTGTGAGAATGAGCATTTCAGTTACTCCTCATTTTCCCCAGTGATGAGCATATACAGGACCTAATTTCACTCTGGTTTTCACCTGCATTTCCCTAATGATCAGGGAGGCTGACCACCTTTTTCTGTTTGTTAGCTATTTGGAAATCTTTTGGGAAGTCTCTGCTCAAGTCTTTTACTATTTTTTAAAAATTGGGATATATGACCTTTTTATTGATTTGTGAGTTATTTATATATTCCTTCAATAAAGGATACTGTCCTTTGTAGAAATATGTATTACAGATGTCTTCTCTCACTTTGTAGCTTGCTTTGCCCTCTCACTTGTATGTTCCCCCCACCCCCTCCATGATATATTTTTCAATCCTCACCTAAGAATATGTTTTTTAAGTTGATTTTAGAGAGAGAGGAAAGGAGAGGGGGAGAGAGAGAAACCTCCATGTGAGAGAGAAACCTTGATCGGTTGCCTCCCATGTACATACCGATCAAGGATCGAACCCACAACCTTTCAGTGTATGAGACAACACCATAACCTGAGTCATAGTGGCCAGGCCCCCCAATGATATATTTTGATGAAATTTTATCTTTAAAAAAATAGTTTATTGATTTTTAGAGAAAGGGAGAGAGAGAGAGAAACAACATCGATCGGCTGCCTCCTGTGTGGTTCCCACCCAGAATCGAGCCACAACCCAGGCATGTGCCCTGACCGGGAATCGAATTGGCAACCTCCTGGTGCATGGGATGACACCCAACCCACTGAGCCACACTGGCCAGGGCAATGAAAATATTTTTAATTTTACTAAAGTTCACTTTATCATGTTTTTTTTCTTTATGGTTAATTCTTTTTGAATTTAATAATTCTCTGGACCAAGGTCATAAAGTCTATTTGTTTTCTAAAATTAACAAATTTTCCTTTTATATTTGGATCTACAATCTACCTGGAATTGATTTTTATGTATCATGTGAGGAGATCAGAATACATTTTTTTCCATATGAATATACTTGGTTGAACAGCACCATTTATTAAAATGGTCATTCTTTTTTTAAAAACATATTTTTATTGATTTTAGAGAGGAAGGGAGAGGGAGAGGGAGATAGAAACATCAATGATGATAGAGAATCATTGATCGGCTGTCTCCTGCACCACCCCTACTGGGGATCGAGCCCACAACCAGGCATGTGTCCTTGACTGGAATCGAACCTGGGACCCTTCATTCCACAGGCCCATGTTCTATACACTGAGCCAAACCAACTAGGGCAAAATGGTCATTCTTTACCCCTTCACCACAGTCTTACCTTTGTCATAACTGAGTATCCACTCATGTGTGGGTTTCCCACATTCTGTTCTCTATCCATTTGACCAGCTTTGCTGTCATGCCACATTGTCTTACATACCATATCTTTAAGTTAAGTATTAATATCTGATGGATAAGTCCTCCGGTTTTCATGTTCTTTAGAATTGCTTTGGTTCTTTTTTTTTTTTTTTAATATATTTTATTGATTTCTTACAGAGAGGAAGGGAGAGGGATAGAGAGTTAGAAACATCGATGAGAGAGAAACATCGATCAGCTGCCTCTTGCACACCCCCTACTGGGGATGTGCCCGCAACCAAGGTACATGCCCTTGGCCGGAATCGAACCTGGGACCTTTCAGTCTGCAGGCCGACGCTCTATCCACTGAGCCAAACCGGTTAGGGCGTGCTTTGGTTCTTGACCCTTTGCATTTCCACCTATATTTAAATGTCATACTTCAAAAAATTTAAATATTTTACTAGTTACTATTCAAACTTCTAAACTGGGGGAGGAACAGACGGTAATATAAACCTAAATTAAATGGAATTCAAAGAGGGGATAAGGAGTAAAAAATCAGTCTCCTTTTCTCTCCAGTTCCCCATAGGCCACATCCTTGCAAAAGGTCTGCATATACAAGCACGTCCCCACTCTTTCCTTCACAAAGAGTAGCATATTGTACACATTCTGTAGCTTGTTTTTCTCCTCTTAATAGATCTGAGAGAACTTGTTATTTTAGTAGTTGCCTGGGATACTTTGATGACGTCAATAGTCTTTTAAACCTGTCCCAAATTAGGTTGCTCCAGTCTTTGTTCCCACTACAAGCAATGCTGCCATGACTGCAGGACCTGCATTTTTGTGTACAGGTGCACAGACATTTGTAGGATGAATTCTTAACCCAGACTTAGCAACAGCCCACTGTCTGTCTGCAGTGCTTCCACAGAAGGTCCCTGAAGAAGCCTGAAAACCTCGGATTAGAGGCTCCTTTAAGAACCTCGGTTCTGACGGTCTGGGGCTCTAGGTTGAGTCCTACAGCATTGTTTTCTGATCCTGAGTTCTGTTCACAGGCACAGGCCCTCTTTCTGGCCCTATAACCCCAGACCCTGGTCCTGAGGCCTCAAATCCACAACCCAAGTGCCTCAATCTTGAATCTGAGATCAGCTTGGCCTGCTGGAAGGAACAAGGGGATTGGACCCCACAGCAACTGGGTTTTGAATCCCAGATCTTCCCAGTCTCCCCTTCCCACTGTCCTGCTTCCGCTGTGTGGCCTTGGGCAAGACACTTGACCTCCCTGAGCTTGTTCCCTCCTTTGCATGTGAAGAGGGTTTAGTAGAGCCTTCCAGCTAACAGTGGGTGCTTATCTAGATAACTCTTGATTTTTTTATTCTCCAGCTTTGATATCTGACCTGGGTCCCCAGCTCTATGTCTGGGGTCTCCCATGTTGCTCTCGGGTTCTGTCCACTTGAGTTCAGTCTAGCACAGGGCTTCAGAGCAGAGCTTCGGAGTCAGACTGACTGTCCATCTCAGCCGCGTACTCCTTCACTTCTCGGGACCTCGGTGTCCTCATCTCTAAAGCAGAGGTAATAATACCGACCTCCCACGCTGACAGAATAGCTGTCACAGCGAGCCCACAGGAAACACTAGCTGCGCCGCTATTATTAGTAGCATCTCACATTCCTACCCCCAGTTCCATAGTTTTGGATTTGAAAAGGCAGCTTGGTCGAGAGGAAAAAAGCACTAACTTCCCTGCATGTCGTCGCCCCTCAGCTAAAGGGCTTTGTGGAGTCCTGGAATCCAGAGCTCATAACAGGACCTGGCCTCACTGTACCTACCTGTGTAACCACCTCAAGACCCAGAGGCTCGCAACTATAATAATTATTATTTCTCACAATTCTGTGGTTGACAGAGCAGTTCTGCCGCCCTCCCTTGCCTGCTGTGCCCACAGTGGTTAGGCTGGGCTGGGAGGTCCAGAGTGGCTGTGGGTGCTGGCTGCTGGCCAGCGCCTCGGTTCACTCATCCTTCAGCAGACGGGCCTGGGCTTCCTTACACAGTGGTCCCAGAAGGCTGCTCTGAAGGCCCCGGCTCTGGAATTCACACAGCATCACTTGCACGAATTTTGTTGGCCAAAGCTAATCTTGAGGCCAGCTCAGAGCCAAGGGGTGGGGAAATCGGCACCACCTCTGGGAAGAACTGCAAAATATTGCAGCCACGTCTGCCTGAGAGCTCAGTAATGATGTGTTGAATAACAGAGGTGACATTGTGAGCCTCTGTGAGCCTCAGTTTCCCCATGTGTGAAATAAGTGTAATAACCCCTCCCATGAAAGGTCACTGAGGAGTCAAAGGGAAAGAATCCTGAGAACACATGCAGCACAGGGACTGTATGGTGCTCAGCACATGCTCACTGTCGTGGCTGTTATTGCCAGAGCTCTCCTGGCTCTTTCCTAAGCTCTGACTCCTTTTGTTCCTAAGTCCACAGAGATACCACACAAACAGCCACTTAGAAAATGACTATGTCAAGGTAAGTGTCCCTTTTGTTACGGGCATCTTCGGAGGCCTCGTCCCACCAGCACTTGGAGTATTCTCTCAGCTTTTGCACTTACTTGGCATGATGGGAGTCAGTAAAATTTGCTCAAATCCCTCAGAAATAAGCATCATCATAAGAACCAGCTCTAGGCCAGAGATTGCAAACTGTCAGGTGTTTGTTTAGCCTGCACAGCATTTAAAAAATGTTAATAGAATTTGAATTGTGACTAACCTGTATAATTAGGAGATCTTACAGAACCACTTGGGTTTCTAAATTCTCTCAACATGGGCCATCTGACATCTCATGCCCATCTCCCTCCTGGTGGCATTGGGCTGGAGCTGAATCCTGGTGGGGACCCTACTCGGTCCCTTGCTGGCTCATGAAGTCAGTTTTCAGTGGCTCACTACAGGTTGTGGGGAAAATAAATGTGGAGCAGAGCGGAACATACCAGGGTGTATTGCCATCCGCACAAGCCTGTTTTGTGGAACCAAGTCTCGTTATGGCATGTGAGTACATGCGCATATATGTGTGTGGTTTGGGTTACAAAATAAAAGGAATCTCACTGTGGGTCATAGTCAGAAATTTGAAAGACCTTGTTCCAGCTCAGCATGACCTCCATCCAGTCTGATTCACTCTTAGGTTGCCTGCCTCCCTCATAGGCATTTGAGATTGAGACAAATGAACGCCAGGTTGTCTGGTGGAGATTAAAACAGCACCTGTGATCTGGGGGCTGGTAGGGTCCATGTGTTTTTGCTCCTGGCTTTCAGGCCTGTTTCCCACTCAGTGGATTCTGGATCTAGCTGCCCAGCCTGGGCTCCAGGATCCTGACCCAGCCCCCAGACGCCGGACTCTGACCCCCCTTCTCCCTTGCCTCTCCAGGAAAACCCATACGTCATGCGCCGGCCCAACTTCCAGGCCCTGTCGGGAAATGAGCGCTTTGAGGGCTTCTGCGTGGACATGCTGCGGGAGCTGGCTGAGCTGCTGCGCTTCCGCTACCGCCTGCGGCTGGTGGAGGACGGGCTGTACGGGGCACCCGAGCCCAACGGCTCCTGGACGGGCATGGTCGGCGAGCTCATCAACCGGGTACGGCTACTCTGGGCCAGGGCTAGGGAAGGGGTCACAGCCTGTGGGGCAACGGCAGGTGGCAGGGGGCAGCGAAGGGAGTCTCAGAACCAGCCTGGCACGTAGCAGAAGAGGAATGAGTCCCTGGGGGCTCCTTACACCCATGGTATACCGTGCACCTGTGCCTGGCTGGTGGGTCACCTCCTATGTCCCAGACATTTGCCAAATGCTCCCCTGTGCCACCAGGGTTTAGCTGGTGCTCAAAGGTTTGAGCGAATGAAAGGGATGTGGAGTGGGAAGCAGGCAGAGCACAAGTAGGTTGAGAGAAAGGCAGGGCTTGGGCCAGGAGAGCAGGGACTGTGCCTCATTTATACGCTATGCTCAGCACCTGCTAGGAGGTCTGGCACATTGCAGACATCAAGTCTGCTCCATCAGTGTTTGTTGAGCACCTACTATGTCTTTGTACCATGCTGGCAGCACAGGTGAGCACAGTGGACCTTGATCCTGCCCCCAAGAGTTTAGTGTCTCCTTAGAATGCAGAAAAGCAAATGACCGCAAGACAGAGCCCTTGGGGCTATGATGGGGGAAGTTCAGTCTTAGAGGAGGATTCTTACCTAGCCAGGCATCCAAGGAAGGCTTCCTGGAAGAGGTGACACCCAAGTGGATACTCAAAGGGTGTGGAGTCAGAAAGATGAAGGGGGTAAGGGAGGAGGGCATTGTTTTCGGAGCTCAGGAAATGGCATTTGCAAAGGTGGGGGATAAGAGAGTGGGGCGCACTGGAAGTGCCAGTGGGTCCTGAGTGTGGGCAGGATTTGGATGAAGGTGAGGAGGGAGAGGCAGGGCCCTAGAGGTCATAGGTGAGGGTGCACTGGAAAGAATATTTTGGAGTTAGACCAACCTGGGTTTGAGTGTTCAGTGTGTCATTTCTCTTCTCTGAACCTCAATTTCTCCTCCCCGGGATGGGGATAATGATATCTGACAGGTTTGCAGTGAGAGCTACAGGAAATGGACAGCACCACACACATTGCTTGTCAGAGAGGAGTGCCCGTACATAGTTCCTCTTTTTATTCCAGGCACTAGAAGCTGTGGGCAAATGCCCAGAGGCAGGACTGTGCCATGGGAGACAAACAGGCCCCAACCTGGGGCACACCCAGGCAGGTGTGCAGAGCAAGGACCTATGGCCGTGAACCGTCAGGGCAGCCTTGACATTGGACTTGGCTAAGGGCACTGGAGATTCTCACTCTCCTGCCTTTTCCATCCCAGAATTCACTGCATCAAAGCCCCTGAATGTCACCAGGGTAGACTTGAGAAGGCCACTTTGCTTGACAAGGACATTTATCCCATAGGGCGCAGATTTCAAAAGTTGTTTTGACTGCAGAACCTTTTTTCCAATTGAAAGCGCCCTCAGAACCCTGGACAAAGCAGAGCTGCTCTGGTAGAGGCGGAGGTGGGGTGTCCCCGGGGTCCTGGGTCTCTCCAACCCCACCCCACAGGCAGGCCCGAGGCACAGTTCCACGGGCTGCCAGGTTGAAAGCTTCTGCCCCAGGTGGTTTAAAGGCCCTGCAGCCAGAACCTGAGGAGACAGGAGGCGAGGAGTGCGACAGCTGGTGCCTAGCATCCACCCCACTGTCCAGTTTCCGCATGACCTCCACTTCCACAGATCAGTCAAGGCCCCCAGAAATAAGTAGACTCCAGGGCAGTTGCCCCCAACTGAAGTCACTAAACTGGACACCAGTTCATTCTTCAACAAAGAAATAGTGGGATAGTCCTGTTGACAGCTGCATGACCTTGGGCAGAGTCTTAACCAGCTGTGTGTTGGCCTGCCCCACAGCATTGTGGGAGAATTTGGTGCGATGGTACCTGGGAGAGCATAGCACAGATCAGTTGCTGCAGTTGTGGTCTTTAGTCCCATTTGAATTTTGGCATTGCTGCATAGTAGCTGTGTGACCTTGGGTAAGTTACTTAACCTCCCTGTAACATCATTTCTTCAACTAAAATTGGGAAAACCACAGGTGTTAGCACACAGGGTTGTCATTCACATGAAACGAATTAATCGAGGTAGGGCCTTAGAACAGGACTGGCAGGTGGTGGGTACTGTGTACAGGTGCCCTATTCATATTATTGTTAATGTTATTTCTATTGGCACAGCCAGCACATACATATATTCATGCATTTGTCCATTCTCCAGCCACCTAGCATTTATTGAGTGTCTACTGTATACCAGGCCTTGAACTATACCCTGGGGATATAGTGGCCAGGCCTGGCCTGGCTCTTTCTGAGTGGGTTAAAGAGTTTGGTTCTCAGAAGGAGGTCCACAGGATGTGCCCCCCAGGGTTTGAACTGGCTTAAGTGAGAAAACAGAATCAGTGGGGTGGGGGGCAGCAGGAGGGGGGCAGGATGACCAGCGGGGAGGTGGGCCGCAGAGATGGAGACCAGGGGAGGCTCGAGTGCAGGCTGGGGGATATAGGCTAGAAGACGTGGGCATTCCTCCCGTTTCTGGCTTGGGCAGCTGGGCGATGGCAATGACATTTAGGGAGAGAACACTGGAGGAGGAGCAGGCTGGCAGCGCAAAAGACAGGCGGGGTTTGGCCTTGCCCAGGCTCAGCTGTCTGCCGTGGGATGGCCGAGTGCGCTGAGCTTTGCGCAGATGCTCCCACCAACCTCACAGCAGCAGCAGCTGCATTTGTTGACTTCATACCACTTGCCAGGAGCTTTTAAAGTGTTACCTCCTCCTAACAATTCCTCATGGCCCAGAGGATCACTGCCCTCCTACCAGTGTGAGCTCTGGGATGCAGCAGTGAAAGGACTCGCCCCTCCACCCACACCACACACACACACATAGACAGGGCACCCAGGTGGTTCTGATCCAAGGCATGTGCCCTTTACAGACACCCAGCAGGTACTCGGGAAGCCTGCAGCGAGCACACCAGCCAGGCCCTTGGCCAAGCTTTTTGAACATGTGTTAACTCTTTGACTTTTCATGGCCACTCCATAAGGAGGGCCTGGTATTAGCCCAGTTTTCTCTAATGGACAGAGTGAGACACCAAGGTATCATGTCCAGGCCACACGGCTAGTGTCAGGCAGAGCCAGGGCTGGCACCCTAACAGGCTGTCCCAGAGCTGATGAGTGACTTCCAGATGGAAGACAGCCCGGTGCACCGGCATCCCCTGAGTCACCCCCGGCCAGGCGCAGGACTCACCAGCCAGTCTAGAATTACGGTTCATTTATTCCACCCAGTGGCCACTGCCGGAATCGGCCTCCCTGCCATCACTGCATTCAGGCCCAGTCCCTCTCACATCCTCCTCACTGGCCTACAGCCCCCCTCCCCGCCCCCCTATTCCAGTTTGCCCTCCAGTGGAATCTTTCCACAATGCAAATCTGACCTGTCACTTGCATGCTTTAGCGGTAGCGCCCCAGGGCCTGCAGGATAAAGTCTGGGCCCTCCAGCCGGGCCCTCGAGGCAGAGCAGATGTCTTAGGTTGGGGTCCCAGGAAGTGACTTTAAGGTGGAGCCTAGTAGGCAGGAGGTATATTGGGGTGCCCTGGGAAACCAGCCCTGTGAGGGAGTGAAGGAGCAGGCTCGAGCAGAGGAAGGAACTGAGCTATGATGCAGTTATAAACAGGCTTCAGCTGTCCTTCGGACGGCTCTGGAGCTGGGATGGCCGTCGAAGGCATCCCCTGAGGTAAGGGAGAAAGCCTTTATACTCCCACCTATTCATCATTGCAGGGGACTGTCATCAGGGAGGGTCAGGACCTTGGGTGAGGGGGTTCTTTCACTCCAGAGCTGAGAGTGGTCGGCCACCAGCACTCTGCGGCTGGCCAAGGAGTGCTCCATCCTGAAGGAGAGTCTGGGTGGCCACACGGCACACGGCCAACAGCTGTGAGCTGGTTAGGAGCCAGGCAGAGCCAGCCTCAGGTTGCACGTGATCCCTGGCAAACCAGTTCATCTCTCTGAGCTCAATCTCCCCTCTAAAACAGGGGGTGATATTACCTCCCTCACAGAGGTTGGTGGGGAGTGGGTGAGGGAGAATGCAAAGTCCCAGAGTAGAGCCCGGATCATGAGGGCCTGTGGGTAAGGAGTTTGGACGTTATTTTATTGTGTTGCGAAGCAATTGGAAGGTTTTAAGCAAAGAATGTGCTGTGATCTAATTTAAAAATTTTTTTCTTTTTCTTATTGGGGTGAAATTCATGTAACAAAATAACCATCTTAAAGTATACAGTTCAGTGGCAGTACATTCAGTGTTATACAACCATCACCTCTGTCTAGTTCCAACACATTTTCTCCGCTCCCAAAGGAAAACCCCATGCCTATTACGTGGACCCCATTTCCCCTTTTCCAAGCTCCTGGCAACCATCAATCTGCTCTGTCTCCCTGGATTTACCTATTTCATATCTTTCATATCAATGGAATCATCCAATATGTGGCCTTTTGTGTCTGGCTTTTTTCAGTGTAATGTAGTCGAGGTTCATTCACATTGAAGCATCTGTCTGTGCTGCATTCCTTTTCAGGGCTGAATAATCTTCCATTGTATGGATGTGCAACCTTGATTTAATTTTTAAATCATTTAAAAATCATCACTTTCGCTACTCTCTTGAAAAATAACTATAATGGGGCAAGAGTAGAAACAGGATGGTACATTTAGAAGGCCATTGGAGCGTTTGGAAGAGTGAAGATGCTGGTGCGTGCTAAAGTGGTAACCGTGTCAGGCCTACCCAGTGGGGAGAGAGGAATGGAGGCTGACCGCAGGGTTTGGCCGAAGCAGCTATGTGGATGGCGAGGCTGGTTTCCACCATGGGAGGGTGTGAGAGGAGCAGTTTGGTGGGGTCGGTGAAATAAGTTATCTCTGGACATGGATCCTTTGAGATGCCTATTTGAAATTCAAGTAGAGAAATACGGATTTCATTGTGCGCTGAGCGTGCATTATTTAACTCACCCCCTGTTGATGGCTACTTGGGTGGTTTCCAGGTTTCGCTAGTATAGGCAATGCCACCATTAGCTGGGCCTGTAGATTTGTGGGTGTG